GTTATGGTTCTCTCTCCGTGATAGTGTAAAGTGACTTAGACTGAAAAAATAAGACTTTTTGAAGGGACACGGACGTATTTTTTAAGGGTTTTCAATTTTTTCTGTGTGGATGAATCAAATGGAAATATAATGAAATATTTTTGTGATTTTTTGTGGCACGAGATGAGTGAAACAGATAGCGCAAGAATTTTATTTTTGTGTTTTTTGGTGTTTTTATTTCTGATACTTAAGGAAATGAGATGAGATGAGATAAAAACAAGCTTAATTTATTCTAAATCCGTGAGATCTATGATTATAGAGTTGGGTTGAGGCGGAGAACAAGCAGTGAAAGGTGGAATAGTGTAGTAGCGGACAGTTCTAGACAAGATGTTAGTAGGAAGAGTTCTATATTTAGGGGTTCCTTCTAACGCTGTAAAGAAGTTATTCCTGTTTGTTTCTACTGTTTTTTCTATGATAGACTCGTCTTCTTCTACAAGATTTATGAGGATGTATTCAGGGGAATAGGTAGAATGAAGGGTACAATGGTAGCGCTTAGTTTCTATGTAGTTCCAGAATCTATCTTCTGCTTCTGTAACTTTCACTTTTTCTACTCTTTCAATAACTGTAATGTTATCCGGGTGGTTGTGGTAATATCTACTAGCTTCTTCTGCAATTGTACTATCTATTTGTCTAATAAATGGCAAAACTTCCGGCATTTGTTCTTCAGAAGGCCATTGTTAGTAGTAAATGTTTTGGGGACAAAAGGTAAAAAGAAGCACGGAGATATGTTAGTCACGGAATTCCAATTAGGCCAGACCCCCAATTGTCAGCCTCTGGGTAACTAACCTGAGTATTTAATAGTAAAAAGGTTGTTACTATGAGTTGACTGAAGTTTTTGAGCGTGGTGAGTGTTAGGTAGTGGGTGATTAATACCAGTCCTGTAAAGAGGAGGTTTCACTCTATCAGTATGGTCTTTACTGAGAGGCTTGCTATCAACAGCGCATCCGGATCAATACAAGGTATTAATAGGCATCCAGGGTACTAAGACTCACCTGGGATTGATTTGGTTATTCCCCAAAGGGAATGGGCTAACAATACTTATTAAGCTTTAACAAAATTAGTTGAAGATTAACAGGTATTGTTGATGGGAATATTCAGCAAGGCTATGAATACTGTGGATAAGTTGAGTAAGAGTACTGAAGCTTAAGAACAATAAATGTAGACAAGATTTATGTTGGTTACGGGTACTGTATCAATATAAATGTTAACTGGTTTAACTGGTGTCTGAATATTCTGGGGATTAATCAGTGGAAGTGGCACGGATTATAAGTTCCAGATACTGAAGGGGGGAAAGAATGAGCGCTCAGAATCAAGGGAGCTTTGGCCAGGAGATGAGCACATCAATTTGAGTGACTGATCATTATTTGTCATGATCTGTAAGTGACATCATACTTGTGTACTAGTGGATCATGTACTAGTTGCTCTTG